TTTAGAATAGATCATTTTTTATTAATTGCCTAAGAGAACATGACTCATATGATCATTCACTATAGTTCCTATGTACTTGATCAGGTGTTATTCAGCTGATCTCTGCTTAAACTTATAATGAACCTTTTAAGTTTAGAATGTTTCATTTGTACACTGAAGTTTTACAGTTTGTGTAATCTGTATTCATGTGACTCAAGCAAATAAACGTTATCAATTTACGTTACTCTTACATTTGATTGACAAAACTGAAGAGCTTTACTTTTAGTGATCATGTGAATTTTCTACAATCTATAATAGAAACAGTTTAATTTGATGTATGTTGATGACGAAATTAACAGTTTGGTGCCTTACGTCGGTTTATATGTTCAATTTGTACAATATACCTATGTTTATCTCTCCTTATTGTTTAGATATTTAAAGATAAGATCGTGCAGTTTATGTATAATTACTTGTTATTAATGATAGATATGTTGTTGGATCATTCGAGAATATGAGCATTAACACTTGGGTTATTAGAATAAGGATCACTGACATTTTTATATCAGTCATTGTTGTGAATAAGAAGTAATGGGATTTTTTCATATTTACAGCATCTCATACACCAGTAAAATCTTCTTAATGATTATTTAATACTAGACGGAGTCTTACTTAATTAATTGGATGATCCAAATAATTTTTGGGGTACTTTATTAGGTTTAAATGTTTTAGCTACTCCATTTATAGGTTAAAGTGAACGAACCAACGCCTTGAAGGCAAGAAAATGTTTACTATTCAGTGATCAATTAGCTTACAAACATTTGACATACTTGAGCATAAATTATGTATAAAACCCATATGATATTTAGTGTTTACACCTTAGAGACATTAATCGCTCACACTAGAAGATATTGATTACTTTACAAAGCAGATTTGTAGCAATACTTCCCCATTAGCAATACCAACAATTAGTTATTCAAACCATCTCGAAAATTAACTTTTATTAGAAAAATTAATGGTACCTTTTGTTGTAATAGGATCTTATGATTAACGATTGACTTCAATACATCTAACTGAATTGTTTAACATTTGAAGATATAGCTCTCAGTTCCAGTGATCTATTTACTAACACGAAACTGATTAAATTTAGCTCCGTTGTTAAAATTTATATATTTCTGTTTACACGATTCAGATGTCGGTGGTATGAAATGGGCCATTTAGTCAAGCCCAGTTTGTATCGAACTGAGCAGTAACTATGACTTAAGATACTGGCATGTCCAAACGGGCTTCCTAAAAACGGACCATTTGATTAAATCTTTTTCACTTTCACTTATAAGTATGTCTAAGATAAGTAACTGGTTTCTCTTATCTTTTCTCCCAAATACATATAAATAAATATATATATATCAGCTAAACTACAACTTCTCCACATCTTCACACCAGATGACTCAAACACGACAGCAAACCCCACTTTTAGCAATTTTAACATGATTTGATTATCTGTTTAGCCAATAGTCAACTTATGAACCATGTATATATGTTTGATTATATTCCTTGGAAAAACTTGAACCAGACTGTTGAGCAAAACATTGGATTTATTTTAAATTAAGCTGATGAGATTTTTGCAAACGTGATTTTCCTTCTTAATATCTCACATCAAATCAGGCCCCAACTACTGTGACACTATCTTTTTTTAAATTGAAATGTAGGCTTTCATACAATACACTGTATAATAAAGAGAAATAAATAGTGGATAAACGCATACATATATGAGAATGTAAATAGGTGATTAAATTTCTGAATTATGGTTAAGTGAATTACGGAATTATAGTGATTTATTTATTTAACTCTATCTATTCGTAGCAAGGCTGATTATTTTCATACTTAGTTGAAAGGGGCTTGTTATAATTAAATTATTTTACTCAGATGTATAGTCCAATTGTACACTCAAAAGTGCTTTGACTTTAAACATGTAGTTAAAAGTGAACTAAAACGGTATGTTTATCACTCATAATGTTTTCCAGTAGTTCAGAGTTAACAATTAAAATAAATGAAACATTAAGTTTGAAAGGCATGAAAAGATAAGGTCAGGTTCTCCGCACATGTGTTAGGTGTTATCAACCTATTTTCGGAGTTCTTATCTTTTCTCTATAGAGTGAATGCTATCTGTGTTAACTCTAATTTTCGCAATTTATATGCCTGTTCCTCATGCTTTATCACAGATACTCGCCATGTATCTTAATAGTTTGGTTTTTTTCTTGAGAATTCTAAATCGACCTTAATAGCGTTTCTCAAATCGATCGAATATCATATCAATAATTAAACACTGTTAGTCAAGCTTACTTGTGAGTATCGTTAGACCTTTAGCTGAATAACAACGCCTAATCTCCCAACAACTCATAAAAACGACTTGCCATTAGAATGAATGTCGACGCCTGCTGTCCATTTACTGAATACACACTGATATGAAGTTAAGGTGAATTGTTGTTACATGATCGATAACTTTCCAGCAAAGGAATTCAAAGAATTTCATACTCACACCTTCCGAATTTATGGGTACTTTCATTCGAACACCAATCATCACACTATCAATCTGCATGTTTATTTATTATGCTTGATTATGTAATCTATTTTACTGTAACCGTCGTCTCATAAAATATTATTGATTGATCAATGATGGGCGGGCAATGTCATGTTTGTCAAGTTTTTCGCAGGGCTGACTGAATTCGATCGATCACTTAGCAATGTGGCCACTAGTCTTAGTGACTTTACATCTTGCGCGCTGTGTTTGAATGTAAAGTGAGGGTTAGAGTCAGTCGATAAAAAACTCTGGGCTCATAAAGCGCTTTGATAGGTTGAGTATTGTCATATATGCATATAAATATTAATGTATATTGAAGCCTGCTACCTGTAGACAATATTGTTCGTTTAGACAGCAATATGAATAATCTTGAGAAGTAAAAGAAAAAATAATTTGACCAGAATAACATGAATTCATTTTGTTTTGCTTAGTCCTGTTTACAGCCTGTGATATTTAAAAATCTTAATGACAATATGAATACTGATGGTTCTGACCATATTGTTATGATTATACTGATGTTAATGCTTACACTGGAACCCTCATTAATAGTCTTACTGAGAATATTAATAAGAATTTAAAAAAATACAGTTGTTCTACAACTAATGATGATCATAAATATTTGTGATACCAGTAGGTCTGTCACTCACTATTTTTTCTAATAGTTTTGTACTTTACATAAATGCAAATCATTCTCTTACCAAAAAAAATGTGAAACAAATTGATGTAAATTCGTTAGTGACACATTTTTATTTGAAACATTCATGTGTTTTGACTAATATAGTTGAAGAGAAGCTTACACCTAGAAATCATCAGATGATCCATATAAGGATTGTAAAATTACGTAGTCTCTTTCAAAAGACAAAAGTATTTTGCAAACACAAAATATTCTGAAAAAGTTGTTTAACAAACTGTCCACATCGATGATGTGAAACGCATGTTGGAATAGATTTTGTCTACTAATTTCTCAAAAGAATTTCAGTCTAATTTATTCTAACCGTTAAACATTACAGATAAATTCACATAAGTCTTACATATTATCATAACTTTACTGAAATGAAAGGTAATTTGGAAATGGTTATAATGATATACTAATCACTGCAAGACTATAAGAACCTCTACATTTCGCCTGTCTGTAAGTTGGAGTTTTACCGTCTTGAAATCCACTTTGATTCGTCACATATATCAAGTTTCAAAATAAATTAAACATACAAAAAATATTCGATATAATAGAAACAAAGATGATCCTATAGAGTGTAGTTACTCCCTTGACATCTTGGTCCAGTTTATGTCATGACAACCTGTCAACATATATAAGCAGGAATTGTTGTTCATTGAAGATTTCCCGTCACAGAAAAATCATTTGAAGAGGGAAAAGCTAAATCTGAATGAAAAAAATCTTAACTTCGACGGTAAAGTTGTAGTGTTAGTATCACGAGGATATAGGGATGTTAGCTAGTCACGACTAGATCGTGATTTAATAGCGGTGCACTGAGAAAATAAAACAAATTTTAGTTTCCACTTGATTTCTGGTGACAGTATTTAGGCTTAAAATGTATGAAGCAAATGTAACAAAAGCCGTCATTCACATTCAATTTACAAACTATCTAGAAATATTAAGCCAAAGTGGATCATTTGAAGTACTGGGGGTATACAGTCGAATTGAATGTATTGAGAGATTATAATTATATTTTTAATCGCCAAATCTGTCCCCTTAGAAAAACTATATATTAAGTAGAACTAGACAGATTAACATTCAACAACAAGTCATCTCTGCAATAGCAAGGAAAATGATGCTATCAGTATGTGTCTAAATTTAATTATTAGCTAAAAGCGAATACTAAAATTTGTGAAGTGTCTGATTTCTGTATTTATTCACCACGAACTTATGCAACACTTATTAAGATATTATTTTAGCTTAAATCTCTATTTTTGAGAGCAGTGCAACGAAATCTGTCTAGTTAAATTAATTAAAAAGAATCAATCATAAAACATTTTTTATGAGCCAAAATGCCTGGGATTAGAACATTGGAACATCAAATCAGTTTATTAAAATCTATGGTAATGATTTCCACTCATTACATGCATAGTTTCTATCCATTTTTCTTTTCTAATCTGTTTATTTCTATTCAATAAATTAGTCCATTTATACCTCTTTGCATTACATAAATCAAAATTCTGTTACTCTATGAACCGAGGGTATTATATTCAATTGGTTGACCGTTTTAGGATGAATCTTAAAACTTCAATATCAATACCAGAAGCAAAAAAAGAAAAAAAATGTTTGTAACTAACCAAAACTGGATGATCTATTGTAATATGAAAATTTTTATTATAAAAAATATAAATATACATCAGTTTCATCTTTTTTTTGTTACTATCTTAATAATTAAAAAATAATTTATTTATACATAATCTGTAAAAAGCAATCAATGGAGATAGATACATAAAATAAAGGACAAATGAACATTTTCATTACCTATGACTATAAGCCAAATAAACTATCATTAAGATCATAATGAATGAGAGGGGGGGGGAATTTGTACCTGTTTAGTTAAGTGTTCAATGAATAAAATGCATATTTCCTTAAATCCTTGTAAACTTTTATCCCAATATTTTTTCTTCTTTTAATTAAATGATGTAATAATAATGAATAGTTATGATATGGTTTTATCTTGTATGTACAATTCTTGCACCAAATTCTTCATATTCTTTCTTTTGTATATATATTTCTTTAAATGAACTCAATGAGGCTAAAATGGAACCACCAATCCATACAGCATATTTTTGATCATTTTGTTTTCTATGTACAAATATTCTTTGATTTACTGGTGAGTTCAACGCGTTCAATTCATTTTCTAAACGTTGTGAAAATCCAGGAAATAATGTACTACCACCACTTAATACAATGTTTGAATATAATGTTGGATGTAAATCAGCTGAACATTTTTGAATAGATTCATTAACGATATTTTGTAGTCCAGTTGTACCACTTAAACCTGCTTGTCTTGGATAAAATAATAATTCAGGTGCCATAAATCTTTCCTTAGTCAAACTTATAATATGACCATCTGGTGTTTGATGTACATTTTGTGCATTTGAAGTGGGATTGATTTGTTTTCTTTCATCATCTGGATTCAATGAAATAAAACAAAATTTTTCTTTTAAAAGCCGTGCAAAATCACGTGAGATAGATGTGGCTGCAACAGGATGTTCTTTGGCTAGCATATATCGAAATAATTCAGTTACATGAGATCCACCGAGATTTTGACGCCTTAAAGCATTCGGTATAAAAATTGTATTATTAACCGGTGTAATATTAGACATTTCTGTACCAACATCAACAACCAAACCGGATGTTAGCCCATACGCGTACAGAGCAAGTGCAGATTGATCTGTGAAGAATAAACCAGGCATATGAAATTTCTCAAAAACCATTTCTGCTAATTTTTCTCTGTTGAATTTAGGCAATAAAGGATATTCACTTATAAGAACTGGATGGTTTTCCGGATTTGTACGTAGTTCCTTCATAAACATATAATACCAAACTAATGATAACCCGTCAATATCCGTTACAATTCCATTGGCAATAGGGCAATTAAGAATCAGTTCATTTCGAAGAACATTTGCATGTTCACCAACAAACCAGTCTGTATATTTTGAACATTTTGTTGGTCTACCTATTAACATTGGAATAAGAATTCTTGGTCCACCATCTCCAGCATAACCAGCTTTTAAATGTCCAGCTCCATTATCCACAACTATTGGCCAATCTTCTATTAATGCCATGTCTTTTATCTAAATAAGTAATAGTAACAAACAATTTGATTACTTCACTGTAATTTATGAAAATTAAATTAAATTAAATAAGATTTACCAAGTAACTGTAATATAATAGCTAATCAACAACTTATCATAATAATAATCATTTTATTCATAATTAATTTTCACTTCAATATAACCTTGAATAAGCTTAACATGTGATCAATATTATTTACTCATTCATAGCTTATGATTGGCTATTTCATTTTACCTGATGGCAACACGTTCAAATGTGAGTTAAATATTGAACTTAAGTTTGTTTGTTTTTTTTGTTTTTGCAAGTTTTTTTTTAAATTTATTTATCTGGTAAAACTGAAATCTACTAATCACTGGATGGATACACAAGTATCATTTTCAATTTAGTTTCATGCTCTATCTATCTAAACATTTATGAGTAATCAATCGTTTTTTCAACACATTTTATCATTCGATTAAAGCATACATATTACTATTATTATTACTATTATTATTATTATTGTTACTCAAGGTTACATAGATATGGTAATAATAAAGTGAGTGGATACTTAATTTCATAATCAAAAATATAAAAATAAACGAACAGTAAGTAAATCAATAATTGATCTGATCATTACAATCACTACACTTTAGAAGGTTACAAAATTCTTAATTACTTCTTCAAGTATTTTCTCCTAAATTAACTATGAAAATAATTTGAAATAATAATGTTAATAATGATGAATGTACATAGTGATAAGGTATTGGTATGCAATGTGATACAGTCATAAATAATATGATTGACAACTAACAAGCATTTAAATTCATACAATAGACAAAATACTTATGATATTTGCACAATGAATTATTGTTTCATTCAAAAAGAATCACATTCTAAGGGGCTGTAATATTGATTATGTTGTATATAATCTTTGTTCAAATTACTCACTATGTGTGTGTTTATTATATTGGTTGTTCTGTTATGTCAACATTGTTGGAAATACAAAGATAAGAATCAACACATATGAATTGTGTCATTGAATCACACGTACACTCAAACATACACACAAAAAAATCTATTATGAATGATCGGTAAATTAGAAATGCTTCATTTTATAACTTGCTGACATATTATAATAAATAATGTTCACTAAACAATAAATTTAAACAGAAAGATAATACCTAGACAGGGCAACATACATGTTTCCTTAGCTTTAAACCTATACAGTACAAAAGAAACCTGATCAGAACTCTGAGTTACCGAATACGTACTATTTGTGGAAGAAGAGGAAAACAGATACCCTGGAAAGTTCGTAAACAGTTATATGATAAAGACGGCTAGAATAGACGAAATACAAGCAGTGAATAAGAAATCCCTGTTCATGAGGGGATGTCGCTAGCGAAATATCAAGTTAGAGATTACGCAGAACAATCCAAAGATCATTCAACGGCTGAGTACTACGATTAGTGTTTACTACTCACCCAATCGTAAAACCGAGGCTAAAAGATGAATTAGCTAGGATGACTAACTCATTTTGTATTTATCAGTTCAACTGCTCCTGTGCAACAACCTATATTCGTTGAAGCTCTAAGGGTTTACATTTTCGTGCGCACGAACATCTCCCAAAGTGACTAAACAAAGATTTATTGAAGAAAATGAACAGTTCGATATTGACGTATTTAGTGCAAGCTTGTCATAGTGCCAGTATAAACCAATCCTTTTCAATTACTTATCGGATCAGTAAATTTTTCCCAGAGCTTGTCAGACTTAAAGTCCATCAAACGGCTGGAGCAATAGAGATTTGGATGAATAAACCGCAGCTATACGTACAAAAGAAATATCTTCAACCGCTTTTCCTCCCCTGGCCAAATTCAAGACCAACTGCATCACGAGGCAAGCCCTAATTCGGAATCATGAAGGGAAACGGAAAAGAAGGCCAAAGAATAAACTGAGTCGGGAATTGAAATCAGACATGAAAGGGAGGACTAGCAACTGGAAAGGATTGCCCAGAACAGGGTAGGGTGGAGAATGCTGGTGGGTGGCCAATGCCCCTCGAAGAGGGACAACAGGCGGAAGTAAGTATATCGAGCCATTTAATTTGGTTGTTAACCTGATTATGATTATTCAAATAACACTGGCCAACGACATTACTGTTTACAACTTGGTTATCCATTCGTGTAAACACCGTTATTCATTTTGTTGGAGTGTTGTTCTCTGAGCTGGATGATTTCGTCGTGGGGCTTTCATCGTTCCTCTGAACGACATCATCAGCACAATATTAACAATTATCCAATAAACAACATGTTTATATTAAAGTATTTGAATGTGTGTATTGTCACTCATAGTTTTTGTAGTGTCATCATAACCTATCAAACATAATCATAATATTTATTGAAAATAGATCGTTGATTGATTATTTTTAAGATATGGAAAAATACTTAAATTTTTGATAGAAATCCCAAAATAATAACTGGATTGCTAAATAAACTTCAAACGTCATTGATATGTATACATTTGTGTACCCTATATAGTCTTAGGTTGTATGAAATTATCATTGTATGGTGTAAAAGATTTCCATCGTTCAAATAAAAGATAACAGCTAAATGACATTTTGTTGCCAATCGTCACTTCATAGTTATAATTACATCATATAAAATATCATTTTTAGCACGGCACTTATGTTATAATTTACCTTGTCCATTTAGTCCAAATAATCAGAATTATAAAAACAATTCGGTTGACTGTCATGCAAATCAGGTGACTGATATCTTGTGATGGAAAACTAATATTGTTTATAGAATATAGATTAGTCCTAAATAATCAACATAGAAATAATATAAACTTTTTTTCAAAAGAGAACTCTCATTCTGTAGCATTTTGAAAAAAATAAGACCAGATCATCTGTGTTTACAGTGTTACAAAGGAGAAAGATTTGCGGTTGGTCAGTAGTTCTGAGTAAAAGCAATCTAACAATGTTCCAATGTTTACCGTTAATTAGTCAACAAATTCGATGTCTTTTTCCATCAAATGTTTATTCAATAGTTTATAAGAAAAAAAAATCCTCATAACCACATCTTAAATGTAAAAACAATTCTCTTATTCTCAATTATTTACTTTACCTATAGGTCATAAATTAAAAGAAATTCTAAATGTTTCTGAATCAATAAATGACGAATAGAACAAAGACGTTTCTTTTGAATATATTTATATAGTACTAATCGGGTAGTGATGTAACGTAATAGTTATAGGATATCAAAATGATTATTAAACATAATACTGAATTACTAACTCAGTAAATCGAAAGAGGAGGAGTGTGACAAAAATAAAGTAAATATTTATAAAAACTGAAACAAACTAGACAACATAATATTTATTAAGGGAGAATTAATAAAATATTTCATAATAGTCGTGTAACAATCAAGAGACGGATGTTGAAAAATGTAAGAATACAAAGATAGAAGAAAATAGAAAATCGTGTGAATATTTTTCAAAAGTATAAGGTTATTCAAAGTTCAGTCGAAATAAACCCCTTTGTCTATGAAGAAAGTGTAATAGATTTAGGATTATCTGAACGTGTTTTTTTTGTATTTACAGGCTGACTTCACCTAGTAGACCGTTGAAAATAATGGAGGAGTAGACATTAGTAGTTTCGAATCTTCATAAGAAAGAGAATGAATTTAACTAAGCACAATTCGAAATGACCACGACAGAATTTAACGACTGAGTTTGAATCTAATCCCATATTTTCAACGTCCGTCTAAGTACGTTTTATCCTGTTTTAAAATACCTTAGGAACAGGTAACCCCAATTTTTTCCCACAACATTTTGAATTAAATATTGGCCTAATGTCTTCGATTATATTCAGTAGATGCATGATTTACGTCTTTCTACATTTCCTTCTCAATATTAATGAACACTCAAACTCCACGTTAGCAGTTGAAGTAACAAATTTGCTGTAAGAAACGTTTAACTACTTAAAACATGTAAAAGTAGCTTAAGTAAGTTGTTAGAATTTTTAAGGATGCGAAAAATATTTGTACTGATAGTTATTTATTACGAATAAATCGGAATAAAATCATTAGTATTTTTTTGAAAAAATAAGTTGTGCTAAAACAACATCAAATCAAGAATTTTATGCTTAGTGTTTAAAACATTAAATATGGATTTAACAATTCAGACCAACCGAATAAGTTAATCAAATATGATAGTAAGCAACGATAATTAATTTATAGGTAGTTAATTCCAATGTTTGACTATCTTTATGATAATGAGCGTATAATGAACGGGACAATAAACTGGATGAAAATTCAATGTCTGCATATAACTAGGCACACATAGTCATACCAATGACTAAAAAGTTAGCTTTTTATGGTCCGTCACTTTCGTACTTCAGTCTTCTTTTATAAGTCTTAAATGATACAGACTTAGTGTGGTCTCTACTTGAATGCCTTTAGAATTACTTTTTCAACAAAAAGTTCTCAGGATCCCTTTTTATATGTTGGAATTATGAAAAATTAAGAATCTTCTTGAAAATATAGCCATTAAGTATCTAGTAATGTTGAAAAAAATTGATATCGAATGTAAAAAGGTGTGACTATACTAACGCCATATCCTAGTGTACAGCATTTTATATTTTACAGTAGCAGATTATGAGTTTGATTTTCAGAGAAATGAAAGCATACTGATATGTAGGTTCACCCATCGATAAGTTCTTAACAGATCAAAACGCATGATCTGAGTAAAAACACGAGTCGTAACTAGAGAAACTGTTCTCTCTTTGTTGAAGTTATTGATAGCTATTCTGAAATCATAGTTTTCATCCATCAAGTATTTACTAACAACGCTTTGTTTAATTGTTCCATGTCATTAACACGTCAAGAATCTTTCTACTGAACTATTAGTAGTCTTCTCTTTTTCAGTACTATTACCATTTATAAATTTACATTTCTGAATACTTGGGTGATTCGTTCTCATGTCAACCAGCTCCGTCGTCAGAGGCGTTAACAGTGATCTGGAAACACTACAAAAATTATGAATATTCCAATAAACGTCTACGTATCAAGCAATATTAAGGCTCTTTAACGAAATTAAGAAAAGACGATCCCTCAGTTACCAGATAAAGAAGGTGGTATAATTCTTAAGTCTTAACCTTAATAGATTAATAAAATGAATGCAATATTCATCCCAAATTTCAAAAACTTATTGACAATGAAGGCATCAACGAGAACGTAGGGAAATAGCTGAATAATTCTCTTAGAGAGCTTCAACTAAAGGGGATAATTTTTTAAAATCTTTATGATTCACTTAAACCAAA